CCCTACACTTTGTATTTGCGATAAAAATAAGAAACATTGATATAAAGTTAGGTGTGTTCCTTTTTTTATTAGAATCTTACTTTCAATCCTATGAAGGACGGTGTCGCGATAAGATTACAATCATTGAGCAAGCAGCGTATAATTTCTATTGCATACTGATTTATCGGGGTCCGAGCTTATATTAAACGTGCGTATAAAAGATCTTCGCATATCTCATCGAGTCCAAGAATTATCGTGTCAATATGAAAGCATATAATATAAAAGCATTCTAGGACATCTTATTATCATCATAAACTTCCTATTTGCCTATTATTGTAGTTGTAATTTAATGGCAGTAATTGCAACGGGGATGACACTTAACTCCATTTTCACCACATCTGCAACCACCGGATGAGTCCCCTTTACCCTGCGACAAGCAATAAGTATGATCAATAAAGTCATAAAACATGTCATTAATATTTAACAAATCTCGTTAGAATCTATATAATGTCTCAAAGACCCTAATAAATTACAGAAAATAAATTAATATTTACTCCTGGACCCCAACGCGGTCCTCTGGTTACCCAACATATCTCCGTTTTACACATAGAGCAAACCAGCCAGTCGCAACCCCATTTTTTCATAAGAACAACGGCACACGTGGGACATGCAAGTGCCTCTCCTCTATCAACCATCTCTTTGAGCATTGCTGCTGTCCTTCTAGATTCCTGATCAGTTTCTTTTGAAAGTTGCAATTCTTGCTGATATTGTTTGCAATTCTTCCCAGTATGAACAACCTTTGAAATCAAAGTTTATATATTGTATTTTATCTTGAAAATCCACTTTCTAAATTTTTTGAAGTAGAATTTCACTCAAAAAATGTGAAAATTGGACCAGTCTTGAAAAAGTGTGACTTAATTTTCAATCTTTAAGAGTGACATTTCAGAGTAAGATTTTTTAAGTAAGACTCACTCTAAAATTTTAGAGTATGTGTGTTTATTTTATAAATTGATCTTTCATTTATCAGTACCAATTAAAATACAAAACAAATACCAATTAAAAATAACGTAGCATCAATATTATAATTTCATATTCAACAATATAAATATTATGTAACACATATCTTACATAATTACATTGACAGTGTTGAGTATTAAATTATAACATTGATGTTATGTTACTTTTAATTGATGTTTACTGAATTTAATTTTTAAGTATGTGCTTTGCTAAATACATTCTGTACTGCAATATGCTATGAGAAAAAAGAGAGATGTATAGAATTTTTAAACATTTTTTCTTAATTAAGTATCATGTCGATTTTAATAACAGTATTATGTCAATATTTTGCACTCGTAATTAAAATGAGAAACAGTAAAATGAAAAACTGTATTGAAATGAGAAACAAAACAACACAGAGAAAGAATACTGTTTCTTGCTGTAAATTTGCGTGTATATATATTTTTAAAAATAGCCTTTAATTATCATTTCAATTCATTATACATATATCTTTAATATTGGAAATAAAACATGGAATTTTAGTATTGTACTGTTTGTTGATATCGCATATCAATTTCACACATCGATTAATAGTAATATTTTTACATCCATCGTACATACATTTCCATTATTCGGTTTTTTAAATTTATCTCTGTATTTTTCGATAGATATGAGTGACACTCACCTGACAGGTAAGACAATTATTAGCTTTACACACAGGACATAAAAAATTATTCACGTCATCGTCGTAAATGCACCAACCAGGACAGTCTGGTGTCTTGCAGTGGAAAGCCTTGTTTCCGGCGTTGTTCTCTGCTTGCGCGATCGACTTCGCGAGATGCTGCTGATAAACTTCCGGCTCGACGAGCTAAATGTAAACAATAATAGAATCATCGCAAATTTTATTAAAACTTCGCTCGGATAATCTTAAACAGAAACTTACCGCCTTGATCTCACGTTCTTGAAGGGTTGATTCACACGTATAGTCGGAGTCTCTGTATGGACATTTCACTTCCGCTTCTTCGCAATACGCGATCGTATTGGCGATACATGGCCTTTGAATATACAACGAAAATTCATTATACGCGGAAAGTAACTCATGTTTGTTTTGATTAATAAATAAACAAATGAAAAATATAATTGGGCTGGGCCATCATGCGTTTTTTTCTGTGAAGTTTGCTACATGATAAATCTAGGATATTCGTGCATGCGATCGTAGTGCGTCTTCCGGAAACGCTAGCGTAATTGTCGCATTAGTAATGTGCATGAATCAGCTTATTATAGAACAGATAAATATATCTGTGATGCATCGCAATTTAATATCTAATGTATATCTATCTAGACGCTCGAACTAGCTAAATACATTTCGCTATAAGATAAATTAGAATCGATACAGGTGATTCCAGAGAGAAATGACTCATTGAATTCAGGGTTATATAAGTTACATAAAAAAGTAACGAAGTTACCTTTTTCGTTATTTTTTTTTACGTAATTACCTTTCCTAATGAGTAACGGTAATAGTAATTAAATTACAATTTTTAGTAACGAATAACGAAATTTGAAAGTTATTATTTCGTTACTATTTCATTATTATTTCGTTACTTCGTTACTCGTTACTTTTAGCTTTTTCAGTGAGTAACGCGTAATGATGACAGGTTACTTTTCCAGCCTTAGCATAACCTTAGCATTTAGTTAGCATTACCGTCATAAAAAATTGCAACGTCATTATCAAATTGTTTATTATAAAAAGTAACGAGAAAGTAACTTTTAATAACCCTGATTGAATCGATAGCGAATCGACATCGAAATGATAATTTTGACATCAATCGACGTCTAATTGACGGTCATTTCTCACTGCGTTCTAGCGAACAGTTTATACAATTGAGCGAAAGTGATCTATTGTAGATTGTATCTTTGTACAGAGGAAGCACCTATGCAAAAGCACGATACTGCACTATACTGAAATTGGTTCCCGTTCTTAACGGATTAAACAGTAATTAAAGCTGGGATGTGAAGATTAAAGGGTTCTACCTGCAGAACATGTGTAAACAATCCCTTAGAATTACACCTTCTCGTGGACCATATGTAACGAAGCATATTGGGCACTCGATTGGCTCGGAATTTGGAATGACATCCCAGTTCTCCAACGATATCAGTTCCTCGTATCGTCCTATCTTGATGTCTTCCGACATGTTCGTTTCCGCTGTTTCTTGCTATTGTTGTATATAAGCATACAAAACGTACATTACATATCTTCCTCTTTGATCAATATGCAGCTAATAGATAAACAAATGAAAATTAAAAACACTACGAATATTTAATAAATTAAATAAACGAAACTAACATTTGTGTGAGATAATACATCGATGCATTCCCATAAACATAATACAGTATAACTAAACTGAGCATTCTCCAAAATTCGAGGAGTGAGGGCAAAACTTGGGTAGAAAAGGACGCACACATTGTGGACCAGGTGCATGCACGAAACCAGCAGCATTTTTTACCATGATAAAAAAAGCTGCACAACGACGTTATAACGATAACGAAACTTGCATTAAGAGTTACGGAATAGGGCTGCAGGACCACAATAAGTGCGTCCTTTTCTACCTGAGCTTTATCCCCACTACTTGAATGCACAGTCGAGATACTATGTCTATGGTATTACCCATGGGCGTCCACAAGATTTTTTTTTTTAAGGAGGGGCAGTTTTGCCACACGTAACGAAAAAATGTTCAAATATTTCCTTCCTTGGTGACCCTATAATCTCTACAGTGTGCAAGTGTCGAGTTAATGACTTTTTTTTATCACTTATTCATTTCTAATGTGTCCACCTTTTATTTTTTAGTTAAAATCTTCCTCACCATGACAAGGTAGGTGCATGTCGAGGAAGATATTTCGTTTTTTGGGGTTATTTTTTATTTTTTTTTGTATCCTGATGAAAAAATTTCGCTGAAATTATTTTACGTTTTGGAACATTTTTCAGCAAAATTTCAGCATTTTAGAAAAATTTCAATTTAATTTCAGCGATTTTTAGTTGAAAAATTCATTTTCAGCAAAATTTCAGAAAAATTTTAACAAATTTTCAGCAATTTCGCTGAAATGTTTCAAAAAGTAGAATAATTTCAGCGAAATTTTTTCACCAGGGTATTTTTATATTTTTAAATTTTAACCCCGTCAACGCGCGCTTTTATTCAACACGCGTCTCTCGATCAGGGGGAGAGGCAAATGCCCCCCCTTGCCCCGCCCGTGGACTCCCATGTATTACCTCATGTTCATTTGTTGTCGACATTATTTTATCTGTTTCTTTGATTTCTTGTTTTTCTTCAATTGTCTGCAAAATTTCCATTGGTGGATCTTGTGGCAATTCTTCAGGAACTTCCTCTGCTGGCTGTGGCTTGTTCACTTGCGCTGCATTGTCGATATGCATTGCAACACTATCTACAATATTGCAGTATATCATAATTTATAATTAACAATAAGTAGAGATAGCATAAAAATATTCCATTTAATAATTAATTGTATAAATACATGTATCTATAATAATAAAATAAATTTTTATATAATATAAAATTTCACGTTTAGAATAAAGGATTTTGAAATAAAAAATGCCGAATAGATTTTTGTTTACTGAGGAATCATATTCAATCGAATGAATCAAATTTACCGGGTGCTACGAGATAAAGAAACACCGGTGAACCATCCACTGCGTGTAACTCGTTGAGAGTGGCCTCGTCGTGATCAGCCAAGTTTTTCCCAATGATCCATCGCTGCACGTTCGTGGGTATCTCAAACTCCGTATGTATCTTTGTCTTCAGCTCGGCTACCGTCATTCTCGTCGGCAGCTGTTATCACAGCCCGGTCCATGAAACGTTTTGTTTGCATATCGAGCAACCGTCAGTATCGGTTACTTACCTGAAGTGGTATGGGCCCTTGGTGAGCGAGTTTATCTTCGATAT